CCGCCATCTTCCTGACCGTGATTATGAATTACAGTCACCCCGGGGGCTCCCCCCGCCCCAGCCAGCCCCGGACTCACCCCCCCGTCTCTCCCCGTGTCTCTTGCAGAGCTCTACTTCCTCATCGCTCGGTTCCTGACCACCGGGCCCTGCAGGAGGGCGCTGAAGGTGAGTACCGGGGCGCCGCACGCTCACCTGGGCGCCCAGGCTCAGTCCCCTCGGCCGCTCGCCGCCGCGGAGAGGCTGGAAGGGGAGGTGTGAACAGCCGGTCCCCCCGTTCCCCCTCCCCCTCCCGAGCCCTTTTGCGGCAGCAGCCGCTCGAGAAGCCGGAGCCCCGCTCGTCCCTAACTCTGTATTTTTCCCCTTTTCTCTGCAGGTGCTGGTGCAGGAGCTGGAGCAGCACCAGGTCTGTGTGGGCTCTGATGAAATCGCCTCTCTTGCTGTAGTCAGAAGTTTCCTTTACTTTACAAGTCATTCAAGTTTCTTCCACTCTACTGTCTCAACTTTTTCCCCTCAACACGCGTTGTTTTGGATGTGATCTCCTTTCCCCTTTAACCACTCAGTTTTCTTTTTTTTTTTTTTTTCTTCCCTTCATTTAGTTGCTTCCTAAAAGGTTGGATTGGCAAGGAAATGAGCATTATAGAAGTTACGAAGAATTGGTGAGACTTTTTTTTTTTTTTAAAAAAAAAAAAAAAAAAAAACCAAAAACTTTGAATTAGGATGCTAACATTGATGATAGACCTTTAAAAGTAGGCCCAAAGCTTTATCTTCCAGTTTCATTCCGACTGTATTAAGACATTGGAGTTATTTTGGAAAGGGCCTTTAATTTCTTTATATTAGACTAACAAAAACACAAGCGGTGTTTTAAATTGAGGATATTGTTTACATAGCAGAGGTGGAGCTTGGCGTTGTGCATTGGTACATGCCACTGCCTACGTATAGGGAAGAACCAATCTGAAGCAAGGTTTCAGTTCAGAGTTTCATGAGCAAGTTTGTTAAGCACGTTTTGATTTGACAGTATTTATTTTCTGGTTGGCTTCCTTCATCAGTCCCCTTCAACAGATTAGGAAATGAAATCGCTGTTCAGAAATCAAGGGTTGGCAGTTCTTGTGCCTATGAGTATGCTCTTTATCTCTGGCTGCTCACTGGTCATACCTTTGTTTCTAAATATTAGAAAGAGATGAGTGATCTCTCAACAGCATGTACTTTATGCCTTCTGCAGCTGATTTTGTTTGCTCTAGATGTTTTAACTTCTAACCTTTTCAGAATGGAAAGCTGCCTTTCTCTTGGTATTTTATTTTACTGCTTCTGAAATGGCACAGTATATTTGGCATTTGAATCTTGTGAAGCGATGGCCTGGTGGTGCCTGCCCAGTGTGGTTTTATTCCGCTTTCTTGTAGTTGATCCTGCTTCTTGAAACAGATGGTTATTCTTGCTTTCCTCCCCACCTCCTCCCCCCCCCAT